AACAAACAAACAAACATTGCTTAAAAACTGACATGATAGTCACTGTAACCATCAAAATTATATACTCTTCCTTCGTGATCCTATAGTTTGGAAAGTTCAAGAACTTGATGGTCGATGTCAGCAAAACCAATCTTGAAAAGATTATCAGGGGATTCTATGGTTACCTTTGAGCCAGATTTCATGACGCATTTGATATGTCACTCTCGGGTGAACGCTGATTTTACCTCTTCCTGCTTACACGCGATATTCAATAGCTTGTATCTTAGAGGGGTCAGGTCTTCAGGTATGAAATGTCTTTGTATTTATCAGTATCTTTCAATGACTTGCGTCTTAATAAAAGTTATATCTAAGACGATTTGTGAAACGAACTATCAACTGTCTAGGATTCCCCCTGGAGACTTCTTGCCGAAGCGATGTATATTTACGATTGAGTTTTTGTCAACATCAAACTTCATGGCAAGGGCGATATCCTGGATGATTTTCACACAAGTCTCTTTTGTTTTCTGGATATTTTCAGATTCTGGTACACCAGACAGTCAAAGATTCTCCCTACGCGAGTACTGGGCTAAGCTATCATGGGCATATTCATTTTCTTACCCCTGCCTGGAGACGATTTACCTTTACCCCATGTTCTGCTATGTCATCATGTTTACTCATGATTAATATGTCTATTATGGACATAACAACATCCATTACATTTATTGCTGTTTTCTCAGATTCTGACATCTCGTCACTATCCCTACCAACAACATCATTGAGGGCCTCCAGAGTGTCAGATATTGACGCCTTGTCGTTACATTTCTCTTTGACGAAAAAGCAAAATTTAGAAAAAAGTTTACCTACATTTTAAATTCTTTCCCTTCCCTGGCGCTGGCATGTTGGTAACCTGTTATTTGAATATTTTCGTCCAATTTCACACATTTAACTGTTCTTTTCAAAATTTCCCCTCAGTGTTAGTCGTCGGAAAATTGTGAAATGAATGGCAAAACACCACAGATTATCATAAGTAAAAGTTTTTTGGTCGAACACACGTGGCTCCCATCCTTCAGGTTTGATGGTTCCCATTAACTCCGTGAACTCTATTAATTGATGAGTTGTTTCCCTTTGTTAGCTCATGGACAACGTCATTTCATGAGTCATTATATTTTAATTATTTTTTTATTGAGTCAAATGCTGACTGACGTTTTTCATACTACATGTATTTGTTAGACCATTATTTACACACTGAATTGTCGACGGATTTTTCCGTTATTTCCCGATGATAAGGTGCGCGCAGCGGATATATATTCTAAAACACCTTTTAATACCGTATTCTATCATAAATTGTTTTGATAATCGATTGCATTTGAAAATCTCTCGGTAATTTCTTATCATTAATTTCTTTTTATTGACATGAAGGGTCTTTTTGACAAATTACTGCTGTCATATAATTCAGTAAACTATATAATCTCCTTTCTTTTTCAGCTCATTTTTAATGTTATTTACAAATGTAAAATATTTTTTTTATTTGCTTCTAAATCTGATATTCCGGATAAAGAGCATATGCAAATTAAAGGACCATTGCAAGATCCATCATGATTAAGATTTATTTTTACCTATCCATACTTTCTGTTCCGGTTCTCCAAAACCATTCTTAAGTTCTGTCCAGTTCTTGAAAAATGCTCTGGGATCCACCCACTCGTGTTTGGATTGTCTTAGTGGTATACACACATCGTTCAATTATTATGGTGACGACCATTTGTATAAAAGGTGTAGAATAAAACAGAATTAGGAAGTTAATTTTGGCTTAACCCCTACAAATACCTTGATGAAAACAAACCGCTTCAATGAACATGTTTAACGTCAATTTTTGGAATTATTTAAATACCATCCATCGTTTTGTTTTCACAGTAAACCCTTACAGGACATTCAGAGAGGGAGAAATTTCGTTAACATCTATATTAGCGAGACCATTTGAGGAAGGTTCTTACAAGTAGAAAGATACTCTCACCTTTAGATACTAGTACCATGCAAGCAAAGTATTTAAAGTAAAGGAAAAAATTGTTTTATATTTTTATTAGAACTCTTCAAAAAATGTATATAAAAAAGATGTGATGTAAAAACTCTGATGACCCCATTATGGCAGCTCATGGAAAAGATAAACATTTCTCAAATGCAAGTCAAACTTTAAGGCCAAGAGATAAAAACTTAAGTAACCCGAAAAAAGTATTGAACAAGGAAAACGCCTTTGAACAAGCATTCCGAGAGTATTGCATCAGCAATATAGTCCCCTACAGGGAAGAATAATCTGGTTCCCGTTAAAAATTAAAAATGTCAATTTCCGTCAAAAATCAATGAAGCGGAACCAAATGTAAACTTCATTTATAACGCACCTAGGTAAAGTCACATACCAAAAATCAGCTCAATATCTGCAAGCGTTTAGAAAAAAAGTACAGAAAACCAAGTGGGACAGACAGACAGACTCGGAGGAAACCTAAATTCCCCTCCGGTTTCACCTACTAAAAAAGAAAGCCCTAGCTTCAACCGTTTAAAAGTTGTTGCCCAGATTAAAGATTTTAAAGAGTAGGTAAACCTCCAAGGTATTAAATATGAATGGTGCATAAGAAAAGGTCTTTTCACAAGGAATACACCTCTGAAATATGAAATCCCTAGCACCGACTGTTTAAAATGTTTGGCCAAAGTTTGAGGTAAAGGTGTCAAAATTAATAGGGATGGCTTTGACATTTGTGAAATACGAAGGCCCTAGCATTAACTGTTCATGCCAAAGTTATTTAAAAATTAAAAGCAGATCAAACTCTTATAACAAGGAATGTACATGTGAAGTGAAAAAAATCCTAGCACCAACCGTTCGAAAGTTATTGCCAAATATAAAGTTAAAAGAAATGTGCAAAAGTGGGGTCAAACTGCAAGGTCAAGAGGTGAAATATGTTGGTACCAAAGAGGTCTGGTCCCAAGGAATACACCTGTTTAGTAAGAAAGCCATAACTCCAGCCAATCAAAACTCAAAAGTTATATGCAAGGTTTAAGTTTTCCTGTACAAACAGACAGACGGACGTACTAAGCAAAACTATATTCCCTTAATCTTCGATAACGGGAGCATAAAAACTCAAATATAACTCTACTTACAAAAACTGTCGTCGGAGTAGAGTTTTGAAGGTATTAGACAGAAATTTACCTTTGTTTAGTAAACATGGCAAAAAGAAGTCAAATATAAAATCAGAACAAAAATGTAAAAATTATTAAGAAGAGCGTTTTGAAGGTATTTCACATAAAATTTTAATTTTTAGTAAACATGTAATATCAAAATCCGATAAAAAGAATAACGTATATCAGTGTAGTCTACTTGTGTCAAGTTTTCAACAAGTTTTAAACATTTTATACATGATTGAAATTTTGACTTAAGTCTAAGTATGTTTCATGACCCTGGGAAATACCCAGGGTTGGCCGAGAAATACCTGTGGTGGGAATTACCAGTGGTAAATACCAGTATTACCCGTCTTGGGAAATTCTACAAATTTTCTCTTAACTGGGAAATACTGGGAAATACAAAGTTAAATTTTTTTTATTTCTTTAATTCATTCAATATTATACAAAATTCAAACATAAAATAAACATAAAAACAGAAGATGAATAATATTGAATATGTCTCAAATTGCAAATTAACATTTTCAGAATGTTCACTACTCCAGGTTCCATTCAAATATGCATTCTGAAACATTTCCCTGGCTGTATAAAACTGAAATTTTCCAATTCAAGTTTCTTTCCAGTTTAGTAATTTTATCAAGTTTATTAATAAAAAATCCAAGAACAAAACAAACTTGTTTTAATCCTTCTATAATCACTGTAGTTATTACAAACAATCATGTTGTTTAAACAAATTGCTCTGGACAGTTTTTTGCCCCTGTTTTGAGATATAATTACCTTGAGTAGAACTGAAAGGCTTCTTCTTAGGTTTGATATTTATACCATACTCTACATTTAAGAATTTTCTTAGATCCTTCTTTGGTTACATAAGAAACTCTACTGGGATCTTCGGGTTCATGTCACATCTGACGCAAGCATGAAACAAATGACACTCATGACTGATACATAAATAAACTGTGTTATGATTATATAAAATGAATTACTTGGAAACCAGAATTTTTTAAATCAGGGACAGTGGTTACCAGGTAGATATCTTAGCCAATAAGGTGTACTACATGTCAGTATGAATGAAATATATAGCTATATTTCTTATTTCCCAGTATATCCCGGGAAATACCAGTACTTCCTGGTAATTACCAGTATTTCCCACCGTCCTGCGAAATATGAGTATTTCCCAGTTTTTTGCCAACCCTGGAGATACCCTGAGATTATGAAACGTCTTAAGCTAAAGTCAAAAAATGTATTTTGTGCGGAAATGATTTATAAATGATGCAGTCCAAAATAAAAATATGCTTTTTTCCTCTGCATCAAAAACCTCCTAAAGCATGCAAATTAAGAATTACATAACAAGTAATACACATTTTGTGGACGATTGAAATTTTGACAAATCTTAAGTCGTTTCCTGATCCCGGGGTCTGGTCTCCAAAGACTACAAAGAATCTCCAGAATCTTTTAAAGAGAAACACAGAGTATTTGTGTGTAGAATCAGAGTGATTTTTAAACAAAGCTATTTTGTTGATTGTGCATCCCAAGAAATGGAAACCTCTACACCGTGAGCATAGAATATCTTTGGCTTTTAGAATACTAAAAGATATAACAAGCATGATTAATAACAGGCATTGATTCGAATGCTTTTTGTTATATCCATATTTCATTTTATGAAATGAACATGGTCGATAAAAGACATTGATGTAAAGATGGTGCAACAACCGTATAGGCGATTGCGCTTAAAATGTGTTATTTTGTTAAAATGTATGAGGAGATACGTTAAAGGTAAAATCATCAGATACAGTAATGACAATTTAATTTAGGTTCTACGTATATACGAAATTAAAGGGAGCAATTACTGAACCAAAATGACAGACTGCCGTTATACACAGCTCCGAATTTTTGTCTGTATATTTGTTGTTTGTGTTCCTGTGTATTCGACTCGGTCAGATTCATTTAGCTTTCTCGCCGTCTCTGGATGTAAGGATAAACTGGGAAACGATGATCTTCTCTCGTTGGAGAAGACCAAGTCTCTAGTTGCATGTGCTGTATCATGTAAAACAGAATGTCTCTGCTTTGGTTTTCATTATGAACGTAAGTTATGTAGAAGACAAACACGATGTGACCCGTCAAGAATGAATGAAACAGAGATTGGATGGTTGTACTATCTACCAAGTACAGGTATGTTACTCAGATTTTAGCAAATATACTGAGATTATAATATTTTTTAAGTTTGCCGTAGTGCAGCTATCGAAAAGTTATATGGACTTTTGCTAATTATTGCCTAATCAGTTAGGCGCATGTGTTCTTAAATGTATAGTTCACGACCTAAGCATAAGGAATAGATCTTGTTTATACATTAAAAAATCTGGTGCAGTTTACACTTGCGTAAAGCGTTTTATGAAAATGTTCCAAACTCAGAATGTAAAATCCTTAAATTTCTATCTGTTAAATTTTCAATGTCTTAACATTAAATAAAAATAAGTCAGTCTGTCCTTAAAAAATGGCATTGAAAGCAAAAATAAATACATAGCAGAAAAGCGGCATGATGATTTCCAAGGTAAGCCATGCAGTAACGAACGTAGGCATCACTCGTAACTGTAAACTATTATTCGCGTCATCTTTTATTCGCGAATCTTCAATTTGAAATCACTCCACTATATTAATTTTCACTTCTGAGAAAACATTCTGTACAAATACAAAGAAAAATAGTTGGTGACCGGCGATTAATTATATTCGCGAGTTAAAGTAGGTCGCGAAACTCGCGAAAATTTCTCGCATGTGAATAAAATTTGGTTTACAGTATACTGCATAAGCTTTTTTGCTATATAATACTAGTAATAAGCGTTATCACCACAAGAAGAGCACACAAAGGGGTGACGAATCAGGTGATGCTTACTCCTCCAAGGCACCTAATCCAACCTTTCATGTTTTGAGAGGTCCGTGTTTGCTCTGCTACCAATTTTTATTGTTTCTATGGATATTTGAGCTTGATTATTCTTTTTTGTCTTCATATTTTATTCTTCATACATTTTTTATCAAACTCTTGTAATGTAAATACCCTCTTTCCCCCATAAAGATAGAAAGGTTTCGAAAGTATCCAAACCTCTCTCTCTCTCTCTTGAAATTACTAACATTAATTTCTTCACATTAATTACAGATTACCGCTAATTCCTTTTTATTGACTTCACTCTCTTAATCTACAGCGGATGGTTTTCTTGGTATGATATTATTCTATCGGTGATTAAAAAAAGCGTAGGGGTATTTAAGCGCAATTAATTGAACAACAAAAACGTAAAAAAAAATCGAATTCTCGTGGAATTAAAAAAAAACATTCATTCAAGACGCAGGTAAACGTCAAGATTGTATGCTGTCAAGCTTACTTGACAACAAGGGAAAAATGTTAGTAACACCCGTTTCAAGCGGCATGTTATCTTTAATTTTTATATTGTCTGTGTCATTAAAGTATTAATTATGCATCGTTAAAAGTATGTGACATAGTAGTGAAGGTAGTGCACAGGCTACTCAGTTTAACATAAACTAAAATAGGTTTTAAGCATAAATTTTTCATGTTTTTTTTATCATTTTAAATTTACCTTCATAAACACAAGTAAAAGAAATATTGATTCCTGCGATTGTCACCTTCCTATCATGACCAATATATTGATTTTTAAAAAAAAATCAAAAGGATTACTCTTGTGAACTTTAATAACAATTAAAGCTTATCAGTGGTAAAGATTACAGAACCTGGAAACCAAGTGTAGATTAAAAGAAATGGAATAAGAAAACCGTCTGATATTTTTACTATGATATTCATTTGCCTACACAAAGAGAGCTAATTTTGTAAAAGGTGCATCTGGCAATGAACAGAAAAGTATTTGTTGAAGGTGCATTCTCGGCAATAATTAACTCAGCTTTTTTCCTGCCTTACAGGAAAATTGATTGATTATTTGTTGTTTTATGCCCCTTTCGAGAATTTTTCACTCGGATCGAGACGTCTCGCGAGAAGAGGTCGGGCAAAACGATAATATGTTGGACGAGCAGACAAATTAATATGATTGAGGAAACAGTTGCCTTTGTATAAAAAAAAAATGCTCTTCATGTTAACGCGAATGCATCCTCAAGCTGATTAAATCCGTACCTTCTGGGGGAAGGACAGGACTACAACAGGGAATTTTATCTATAGATTTATATATCTTAATAATCTTTTAACATCTCCTTCTCAAAGCCATAAGCCATAATTATCATTTTCTCAGATAGTGGAGATTCAAAGCATGTAACCCTAAGGGTTATACGGAGCCACACAACGGATTAAAGTTAATCATAGGAATATGTAAGAAAAATCTTGAAAAATAATCTTCTCAAGAACAGCAAACCGGTCACGGTAGCCTATTGATAAGGGCGTTTGCTGCGTGATCGGGAGGCCCGAATTCGATTCTTATTCGCCGCGCCGAGTAAAACAAAGACGTTATTGACTGTGCCTTTGCCAAGCGTTCGTTATAAGAAGGGAGTAACGGGACTTAAGAGGCCTTAAATGCCAGAGTCTCGGTTTACTATAGAGTGCCTATACTCGGCACTCAGGGCCTTGGAGCAGTGAGAGTATTTATCAATGTCTAAAATGACACAAGACCCCGGTTTTTAAGATGTCATCCGAAAAACCAGTGATTTTCGCTTCTCATATCGGGCGCTTGGCGAAGAAACAGTCACTTCCTATGTACACGTCTTGGGTTTGATTCGGCAAGGCGAACCCACCTCCCTGCCACGAAGGAAGGGCCTACCACTAGGCTTTCTTGTTCTGTTTAGATAAATGAATAAAATGTTGACTTATAAATGACTCAATATGTTTTTTTGTGTAGAGGCCTTTGGATAAATTCTCCTTTACAAAAAATACATCGGCTATGAAAGGAGACCACAGATTATTGAAAGTCATAGTTTCAAAATAATTTAGCATTTAAGTTCATTTGAGACTAATTTACAGATAGTTTTATATAATATTTCATTGTAGATTGCAGTACAGGTTGGAAATGTAACAGTGTCACAAGCAGATGTTATGGTCTTAACAGCACAAAAGTAACTCAAGCAGACGCCATGGCAAATTCTCAGATTTAACAGGCTCTCTCCCTTCTTCACCAGAAACGAGAAAAATTCTTATAACAAAATAGTTTTAGTTACTCATTGATATTGTCATGGTTATTGAATGATTCAAACAGGTTAAAACCAAACAATATATTACCTGCAGAATACATACACAACATTAAACACTTGATTCAACAGTTTTCCTTGCCCTCATATTTTTTTTTTTCATGAAAGATACCAATGTTCAAATTTTTCTGCCTTTGGAGTGCACAAAAATGAAAGATTGCAAACAGAAAAAATGCTGCTTTCAGAAACCATTTTGATAACCTTTTCGAGTAATTCGTTCGTTCAAACGACATTAAGTCACAAAATGAAAGAAATAGAGATAACGAACAGAATTCAAACCCATAAGTCCTTTCAAACAATACAAATCAGGAGCAGAGCAAATACGTATTTCTTAAACATAAGAGGTGGGATTGGATGCCATGGATGAATGAGCATCCCCTGCAGACCGGTCATACCTGTCATGATCGGGAAAAAAACGTTAACAATTCAGTGCATAAATAATGGCCTAACGATTAGCATGAAAAACGTCAGTCAACATTTGACTCAATGATATTGTTACCTTTTACGTGTAAAAGGTGAAGATAACAAACAGTGATCGTTCTCAAAAAAAGTCTGATGATATACCATCTGTTTATAACCTATATTGTAGAGTTCATCTTTGCCCCCGTTTTTTCACGTCCAAGATATCATTTTTGAAAACTTGAAAGGTAAAATGCCATCTCTTGTTCTTCTCCTTATTATGCAAAATGTAATGTACTCTTTCTTATATACTTTTTACAGCAACGTCTTTTGAATGAAGGAATAACTTCAAAAGGTTATCAAAATGGTTTCTGAAAGCAGCATTAAAACGTGAGGATCTTTAATAAGAATGACTTCTATTTCCATTGCTATTCAATTTTCCTTATTTACTGTCGCACCTGTTCTAAGAGGTCACTTCATAGCAAAAGACTGACATCTTAAGGCAGGTGGCATCTGATTCCAAGTTTCAATTAAATGAACAAATTCATGGAGAGATTTAGGTTAGGAATTTTTTTTCAAACTTGTGAAGTAATTTGCAAGATATCTATAAAGGTAAGATCTATTTTTAAAATAACCCTCTCTTAATGAGGCCAGTCTGATGATCAGTTTTTTTAGTTTTTGAAACCTAGAAAATCAAAAAAGCAACTCTATGAACTTATTTCTTTAACTTGAAATTTCTGTAATAATAACTACATGTAGTTCAATTAAATTGTTTTTACACAATACAAAATGTCTAAAATAGGGCTTGGAAAACGTGTAATCTCAGAAGTAAGAAATGTCCAGAATGTTAACAAGAAAAGAACACAGACTAAAGTATCTGTAATTCTTTTTGACTTTTTTTACGGGGAGCATCCCACATAAATCCACTACTGATATTTAAATTAATTAACACTTGATTTTTCATAAGATATTGTTTGAAAAATGAAAGATGTCCCCTACAGGTTGTTAACTTCAGTGTTGCATGAGATTCATAAAGGGTTAAGAAGAGTAGTAAAGTATGATTTGAGGAATCAATCAGCTTCTTATTTTAATAACAAATAAATACAATTTTTTATTCAATCAACATCAGCAAAAGACATTAAAAATCGAAAATTAACAAGTATTAATAGTTTTAAAATAAAGTTAAGAAAGATACACCTTTGTTCTTAACACTTATGATAAAACGTAAATTAGTAATACATCTATAAGAAAAACAAGAAAAAAAAATCGAAAGAAAATTATCGACAATCAAACTTGTTATTGATTTCTTCTTTTAATCTTTCTTCTTTTTAATCATCAATCAGTTTTTTTTTTCAGTAAAAAAAAAACCTCATTAAGCCGTATAATTAACCACTGGCCAACATCAAATTGTAAGCTTCCTCGTTTTTGTAATTAAAATTGGACAATACGTATGTGATTTGAATCGAATCTGTAATGCGAATAGAGTTAGAAGGGGATATTATTTTTGAGAATTAATTTGATTGGTGATTATCAATGGCGACTCTTAATTCTTAATTTGTTAATTTACTTGTGAAGCCGAAGTACAACACTAAATGATTCCATTATCTGTTTGTCTATCAGCCGCAGCAGCGTCTATTTGTGGTAGTGATAGTAAGTGCACATGGGAAAATAAGGTGTTATTTATTATTGTCTCGATCGAATAATTTTTTATTGATAGCATGCATAAAAAGTTATAGATAAAAAATTTAGAAAAATGTTATATAATATCTTCTAATAATTAATATTAATCTATTCAAGTTCTCTGGTCATTTTCAACAAGATATACTTGTATAAGATTTTACAAAAAGTTTATACAATAAATGCTCCCTAAAGTAGGAGTGTGTAATGTTCAAAACAACTCGATAAAATTTTTCGGATTATTAAAAAAGAGAAAAATTGACATGCAGCTGCTAATGACACAACGCTTTTCTATTTTCGACCTTTAACATTTTTCGTGATGTTCATCAGCTGCAGACATCGTCATCATAACATAGATCCAGAGCACGTAAAGTGTTTGCGGCCGATTTGATGCTCTGCATCTATAAATTATCTTGTTACATACTGTAATTATATTTTTTTCTCGTAGACTTTCATATTAAGCACTTTTTCATTAGAAGAATCATTCTGAAAACAAAAAGCTTTAAGGATGTCTATAAATAAATAGGAAGTTGAAAGGAAAGAAAAAAAGGTTGAAAGGGGAGGGTGATTTCTCTTAAATACAAGACTTACTCGGATATGTAAGGGAGAAGTGTGTGGACAGTTATCAAATTTTAGGAATACTATACTCTTTTTAACTAGACTTCGTGAAGCAAGTGCGCACCATTTATTTGTAACTTTTATATATGATTTAATTCTTTCAAGGTTTATTTCTTTTTTACACAGCATGTATACATCTCTTAGTTCACAATCAATCAAGCATAACAACTTTCCGAAAATTGTGTCTCTTTAGCATTTTAGTTATTAGTTAGTTACATTTTTTTTTTGGTATAAGTTTAAAATTCAACAGCTTTGTACAAAAATTATTTTAAATATATTATACAGCAATCCTGCTTTCTTTGCAATTCCTACCTGGTGGAAATCAGTGACGTGGAGGAAAACACCTGGATTACTGCTAATTTATTAAATGATGTTTGTAAGTGTTTTCATTAGAGAATAACCCGTATACTTCAGCTTCCATGACAGTAGTATTGCTCGATTTTGAAACACTACATTTAGCTGTTTTGTAGCCTAACACAGACCTGTTTACTCTTACGATTTCGCCGTATTTTGTACGGATTTTGAATCGAAAATGCTAGAATGAAGATACGGAAATCGGAAATCAGTTCGTTTGGATTTTAGCAGTTAGTTTTCATTATGATCTGTCTCAGTTTGACGCTTTTTAATCGCTAAAAAAGAGAAAAATTTCAAACACTTAAGTGATGTCGGGTTGCCAAAATGCGGTGTTTTAAAAATTGACAGAAACCCCTCGAAAGAAAGCAAGGTATGATGTTTTTCTTTGTTATTAAACCATGGTTTGATAATCAGAAATGTAGTTGTTTTCTATTATTATATGTACAATCGATGAAAAGTGAAATCTTACGGGCAAATGCCAAATCTCACTGACAAATCTAACAAAAAGTACTGAGGGACAACAATATGGGTAAACAGGTCTGCTAACAAAAAAAACTTAATGATAAAGATGATGACTTCAACTTTTCCATCTTTACTTCCCGTATTTATGTAGCAATATTCCATTATCGCCTTCATATGGAGTTTATGTCTCCCAATTGATTCAATACACAAGAGTATGCTCTACATACGAGCAATTTATAACACGAGGCAAGCTTTAGACAATTATAACGTTGACTAAACGAATATTAACAGTCTCGTTTAAATTCATCATTTCGCAAGTTCTGTGGTCGATACAATGACTACACTGATGTGCCAAACTTAAAGTCACAATATGGCTGATTTACTTGCTAAGTATCACACAGACATATATTTTCATTTCCAAGTATAACTAATGTGAATTGACCCGGAACTTTTCTACCAAGGCATAAATTCAGTTTTCACTTACTGCCTGATGAAAGGGAGGTAAGTCTTTGTTTACAAATAAAGTTGTCGTCTGCAAAATACAGCAATTAGTGCAAGTTGAAAAGATTTGACAGATGAAAAAAAAGAAGTTGATCCTAAAGCTCAAAAGTGAAGGTAACAGTGGTGGATATTAGGAATTAATAGATTTACAGTGTGTCATGTTTTGAAATGTAATGAAAACCAGGAAAATATTAGTTTATCAAAATGAAGTGCTAGAAAGTCCAAAAACAGAGTAGTGAAAGATCAGATTTTTGTTTCTTGTTTAACGTCCCTCTCGAGAATTTTTCACTCATATGGAGACGCCACAACATGCCGATGGACAGCTGCAAATTTTGACCTATGCTCGGCACTCAGGGCCATTGAGCAGTGAGGGATCTTTTTCGTGCCAGCACCTACTGCGACACGAGACCTCGGTTTTTACGGTCTCATCCGAAGGACCGGCCTCCGCGTCCCACAGTGGGATTCGAACCCTCGACGTAAGGATCAACTCCTTACTTCGCGACTTTAGAGCAGATGCTCTAACCATTGGGCCGAGCGGACGACGAAAGATCAGGTAGAAGACTTTTGAATATCGTAGAAGTTAACCGGAGAACGACTTATATATTTCTAATCTATATAATGAAAATGCACCACAGAAACTCTCCAAAAGCACAGTTCAAAGGAGATTGCATGAACATGAGTATCACAGGAGAGTAGTGAAGAAGATTACCACCATTTCCAAACAGAATACACTGAAGCGCATTATCTTTTGCTGATCTCATTTACACTGGACTGTACATTGTGATTGGTCTAGCGAGATATTCTCTGTTGAAACAGATTGTTTTAGGGAAGAACAGGAAAGAAAAATGACGCTGTCTTGAAATTTACAGTGTGCAATATACTCCACAGCTAAGTGTTATGTTTTCGGGGTGTCTCACCTATGGTTGACAATGTCTCACCTATGGTTGACAATGTTTTAGAAATCTGGACCTCTCTAACTCCAACGTATATAAAATCTTAGAATAAATCCTTGCCGAAGCGAGTCCGAGCTCTTCTGGCAGTCAACGGATGTATTACTAAGTACTGAAAATTTGGGGTAAGTACCTTTATTAGATTTAGAGATATATGGCCATGAACAAGACCCACTTTTTTCAGCCCTACCTATCAGTTCAGCCATTTTGTGACTTTTAATTTGGGACTCGACTGTAGAAAGTAAATACAATCTAACAACATGGCGAAAGGTTGACATATTGTTAGGCTATTTTTTCAATGAAATGTTTTTGGTTTGCCTGATCACGACACGGAGCAAACGACGAGTGTGATCGGTTGAAAGGGGATCCATACTCCTCCGTGGTATCTGTTTAAAATATTACTGTTTAAAAGACGTAACATTATTTGGGTGCTTAGACATGACTGATGAAGACATTTGTTCTTTATTTTAGTTTGCACGGACCCTTACAACTGTGCGACATGGACAGGCGGAAACGATAGGGCGACAGAAGGTGTGTATGTATGGGAACACTCAAACACCGCCATTGGATTTACAAACTGGGACAATATAAACCCAGATAACTACTATGCTCCAAACCAAGAAGTAGACTGTATAGATATGTTTTATAATGGGGAATGGAATGATCGACCTTGTGCTTATTTGAATGGTTTTCTTTGCGAAAGGGAAAATTTGTAACAAAAAAAACACCCTGTACGTCAAACCGCAGTAAGGAAAATGAATTTGATGGAGTGTTACAGATTTGTTTTCAGATGATTTGTAGAAAAATAATCTATGAAATTAAATAAGTCAGTCAGATAATCTATCAATTATCCGAGATCCTGGGCTGATGGATAAAATATATAATATACAGACTGTGCTTATACAGAATTTATTAGGAACATTAAACAAATGTTGAAAATTTTAGTTTGTTATGTGGACACTTTTGCCATTACATGATCACCCGGCGTTCTTGCCGTTTTGTTTTGAATGGCATTCGTAAGCGACGTCCGCTTCTGTATCTCAACACAATCTAAGTGGAAATTTAATTAAATAATGATCTTTTGTTTATTTCGTCAGTGTAATTAGCTTATATTGCAGTTCAATTTCTACATAACGTTCATTTTTCGTCCTTACTAGCCTTGGATAACCTACCGTGAATCGGCACAAATAATTCTCTCTTGATATGGACTGACTTCGCTATGTTGCTCTTTGCAGATCATTTCGCAGCATGTTCGAAATATAAGTTAGCGAATCTCGTCTAAATCGAAACCGGGATCGGATTTGAGTGTCGCTTAAGTCGGACATTTCTATTCTTTCTCTATATTTTCTCTCTTTCTTCTCCGCAAACAAGTTCCCAAATAATAACAAATCCGCCATCTTGATTTTTTATGGTTAATTAAATATTTAATGTACCTAGGTTACCACAGTTTAATCTGCTAGTTAAGAGCCATTCTCTGTAATGACTTGAAATTTTATATAGGAGCTGTGGCACGCATAGTCTCAGAATTTCTCCAAACTCTCTATGATAAAAGTCTTTGATACCTTAAACTCAAATCAGGCAAAATTTGGTTGCTACGTGTCATGGTTTCCATAGCAACACGTCCTAAATTTTGAAAAATGGCATTTTTCAAAATGTTCAGAGTCCCACAATTAACGTTTGCGGCAAAGCATACAAGTGGTAATGACTGTTTGGGAAAGTTGAAGGTCTGGTGTCTTAAATATTTGATAAACATGTTTGGTAAACCAACTATTATATACGTTACTATGGAAACAAAGTATTCAAAAGTAATAATTTTGTTTATTTAATTTTAAAAAGTCATACACATAAGAATAAAAATAATTATAGGTTGAAAAGCAAGCAAATAATAGACAAAAGATCCTTGAAACATATGCCAAGGATGAAATATGATATTTCTTATGGGTTGGCAATGGTTGCCATGGTTTTAATATCACGAAGGGATTTTTAATTTGTTCTCTTAGTGTTTCAATCTTATCCTATCTTTTTAATAAACATATTTCTATATAACTGATGATCAATTTTTAAAGGCGTTGGTATGACCCTAATTTTCACATTTCAAAAATTTCAAATTTAATTCTTTAAATAGAGCGTTGCTATGGAAATTAGCCAAAAAAAATATGCTTAGAAATGTGAAAAATATGATGTTTCCTTGGATACGTACCCTTGTGTGTAGATTCCCAAAACTTTTATGATTGATATTTATGAATAACTAACCTGACTTTCAATTTTGACAACCACCCAGTCTCTAACTGGATGCAAAAAGCTGGCACATAGGGTTTAATATTGATATGAAATTAATAAAATTGAACATTTTCACTTCTTGGTAACCATAGCAACAGTATTGTATTTTTCAACAAACTTTATCAATATATGATATTCAACTTTAGTTCTACCAGATAAGTACTATTCAAGGTTAGTGAAATAATATGTTTCTTGATTAAAAGGTTAGTAAATTCCTAAAGCAGCAAAAAATATATCACTTTAAACAACCAGTACGTTGATTCCATGGTTACACTGCAGAAAAACAATTAATCCCAATTTTTCTTATGTTGTTGGTGTTGCAAGGTCCTAAGGATGTATATGTGCCAGTCATGAATTTTATTGATTTTCCTCAAGATAGTAGCATTAACCCAATCATAGCAACAGATTTTGCATGGTAACACTGTGTTACCATGGCAACCATGAAAGTTATTTTTAGAATAATATTGCCAATACTTAATAACTTAAGGTCAAGTACTTTTTATTGTTTTTCTCAAGTTGTTGATTGAGTTTGATCATGTAACATCTATCATTTGTTAATATTGAGCGTTTTTCAGCATTTTTCAGCATCTAAAATGTATTCCAAATGTACCCATGGTTACCACTTACTTAGAGATAAATTCTAAATATTTTCTTTATAGTATAAGTGGCAACAAGGTGTCATGTTTTTGTGAGAATGGTTTGTTTGTTTTTCTTAGTCTTTATTAAGGCTTAATTAAGATTCAAAGAAGCTGAAAATCTCAATTTTTTCAACTTTTCTGGCTGTTACCATGGCAACCAAGACACATAGCAACGAAATTTTGTTTGATATATGTTTCTGGTGTCAAGTTGTAATAATCGGCAAAGTTTCATCAAAATTGGTGACCATGCGTGGCAAAGAAGTTTTTAAAAGTGGTAACAGAGAATCGCTATTAAATCAGAAAATTAATTAAGCTTTAACTGTCAGTTAACTTTCGTGCAAACCCATTTAACTCGCCGTTAAATTTAACGTCGCGTTAACGTAAAGTTAACGGCCAGTTAAATTTAACTAACGTTCGTGCAACCGGAGGTATTTTCTTCTGATGACCTTCATTTTCAGTTTCCATGTCTTCAGTCTCCTCGCGGCGCTTTCTTTTCTCACCCGACTGCAGCACTCCGGGATCGAGTACTTCCGACACCCTTCTGGAAATCTCGTCGCAAAGTTTTTTATGTTTACGTACTGCCTTCTCAGATCGATGGCCAGTTCTCTTCATTATTTCTTGCTCGTCCATCCCTGCCATATACAATTGAGTGGCACACGTGCTTTTTTTCCAGAATGGTTGCTGTATTGTCCAGACAGTCCAGCTTTTGTACAGATCGTCCTCATCATGGTCTTCAGCTTTTTTACACCTACAACCTGGTTCCCTTATTTTGGCGGATGTCCCTGCAACGGGCGTCGATGAAATGGTCCCTCGTTACCTAGGCCAGCCAAATAAGTCTTGTAAAAGTCTACGATGCAACGTTCACCTATAATAATTATTGATAAATAATAAATAGGGCTCATATGGGTCATGTTATTCATGAATTGAGCCGAGTCGTAACTTATCATTAATCATGTATATATAATTATGAAATCAAAATTCGATTATATACCCAAGTAATTAAATCGTATCTTTCCAGGTGAACTGTAATGTCGAATCTGTTTGTTTAACAGCTGAATTTGGGCCAACCCACCCTTGTAAGTCTTACTGGCACGTCAAATGAATTCCACGTATTTTCCAGAGCTGTCCTCCCCAAGAACAAACTGACTACACTCAAGTTCGTGATGCTCGTCATGCCCCCTTAAACCGAAGAGTTTACAGTTATAGTAGAACATGGTATGTTGAAGACTTTCGGAACTGTCACCCCGAAATACACCTTTCTCCCACATGCTTTCCTCATCCTGTTGCATAATCGGCTCAGCTTGCTTAATCGCCGTCCCAAACCCGCGCTTCAGAAGGTCTTTCATTTTGCTGTCAAGAATTTTCCGGAATCACTAAACCTTGGGTCATTACTGCCCAAAATGTTTTTGTCGAAGATGTTTTTATTTCAGAGGTGGCGCAATACCCCACACGATATGAGGCAAACAGATCGAGGGGGGTACCAAATGCCATTTTTTCTTCGAGTTTCCACAATAAAGCGCCCCAAGTAGAAATTCAACTGCTCTGTCGTCATTAAATGTAAGAGTGGTATTTCATCAACGGAATTACCATTACGTTTCTCCCGCCGTTCCTCGAAGACCTTGAGAACCCACGTGGTATTTTTCTTGGTGTTAGCATTCTCGTTCGACGCAATCAATTTTGAAATTTCGTCATCCGTCACCGGTTTTCCAAGCCGTTCACCATAATCACCGGTTTCCGATTTCACTGGTCCAGCCTTTGGATCGGTAATATCAGCTACTGGGTCCACTGCATCTAGGTTTAAAGAACCAAACTCGATACCAATTTCACTGTCCATATTTTCGGCACGATTTAAATTCAACTTTTCACACAGACCCTCGGATATGGCATTTTCTTCTTAAATTTCATCACATACCTGCAAGAGTTCAATATCTTCTTCGGTAACTCCGCATATGTTAAAAAAGTCTAAATCGCCCAGGTTAATGGTCGACAAATCGTCTTATACGTTCATCCTTCCTCAACTTCATCGAAGTAAATGACTATGTGCGCAGAAATATTCCCATAATATAACGAGGAATTAGCGGGAAATTACTACGGAATGTCCCGATAGTCTATAGAACCAATAATATGCCGGTTGCAGAGCTGGAAAATATAACGGACTCTATCGAATGCTGTCTGTATTTCGAAAAACCCCGATATTTTCGCGGGTTATCTTACGGAAAAAATGATACATTCCCACGCTGTTTTATGGAAAATTTTCGCCATAATGTTCCGAGCTTTCTGATTGGTTCGTTGATACAAGTCAGTTAAATATCCAAATTTCAGAGAGGGAAGAGATATATTTAATGTGTATTCGTGGTCCGGGTGTTCAAAGTAAATCAGGTCAAAACATACCGTCCGTTTTTGCTCTACTCCCGATTTTTATTGTTTCAAATGACTTTTGAGCTTTATTACTGATCGTTATCTCCATATTTCATTTTATGTTTTTCAAAAAATCTTTTAAGAAAGGATTTTAGAATGATATTGTGCAATACAGGATTGACTATATAAATTATTTTGTTCATTGCTTTGTTGCATGTCAGTAAGCAAACGATCAAAGGTGACACGTCGAGTGGAGTGCAGTGGAATATTAAAAACAGATATGTAATGGATATATGCCGAATACTGTTCTATATGTAAAATTATCAGACTGTTTGAGGCCCGTTAGGGCCGAAAACAGTCTGATAATTTTATATATAGAATTGTATGAGGCATATATCTTACTTAAAACATTGCTATTTAAATGTCCAAAAGTTACCTGGAGGAGTCCGATAATTACACAATAGGAGTTCAGGCATCAATAGTTTTCTACCTGAAACCATCTAATAAGTAGAGAAAGGAAAAGAGAAAGTTTTTTTTTTCTTTAGACAGTAAAATCAGTGAGTGAACTCTTGTTTCATTCATTCATTCATTCTATGGCAGTCGTTTGGCTTAGCAGGAACTATGGACAGTAGTCAGGTGATGAAGGATTTTTTTTTTATTCGGAATATTTTTTTTTATTAAGTGCGTTTGACATTGATACAGATACAGTACCGACCAGACACAACCTAACACCAGAGCGAACCCAAAGCGCACCCCGGGTTCGCTTTCTGGGTTCGCTACGGGTCCGCTTTCAGAAATTTTGGGTGCGCTCTGGGTTCGCTTCGGGTTCGCTCGGGGTTAGCTCTGGGTTCGCTAGAGCGAACCCGGCGTTCGCTTTCTGGGTTCGCTTTACGCACTCATGCGCGAAGTGGACCCCGCTTTAATCTTGCCGCCAGTTAGCTCCGCCCCTTGTTTATTCCAAATACAGCAGTGAAATCGATCATTGTTGTTTTTGTGGCGATCGATACATTTGCATGTGCAGTGGCTGCAATGTTATTGTTGACAACACACACGAACGATCACGTTTTACACAAAATAGTTAAAAATATTTAGGAGTGGATATTTAAAAAAACAAAAAACAGAAAACTTATTAATAGATATTTTAGATTAAAAATATTTACTGCTGCAATTATTCGACTTTGGAAAACTGAAAAAAAAAATATAGAAAAAATATTTTTGAAACTACATGTAAATAAGATTTAATAGGTATTTTAGATTACAAATAATTATTAATGTAATTTTCCTACTTGGAATTTTTTAATCTTTTTGATACGTAAAATTGTAATTTATGATCGAATGCAGCATGTTCTATCATATGATATAGGTTGACTGTGAGTTTTGATTAAAAGTGGCCTAAATAATGAATGAATACTTATATTCATCTTTCCATTTATGAATTCAAAAATCAGCATTTTTTTTTTTAAATTCATTCATCTGCAGAAATTAAAATAATAATGAGTATCAGGGATAAAAAGTAACCCCAACAATCATGTCGTGTACATTTGTCGACTAATTATTTATGTACGTATTGGGAATTAATAATTTTTTTTGTAAAAATGTACATTTCTGATGTATTGATATAAAAATATCATGACCACAAAAAGCAGTTAACGGGACCCATCATCAGAGAAAAAAAATCGTTAAACATCTAAAATACGCTTAATCATTTAAAGTTACGCTATTTAAAAGAATACAATACTGTACGACTTATTATATTGCTTATTTACTACCGATAATTAGTTCGTTCAATAATGTACATGTAAATCGCGCGTTGTTTTTTTTTTTCTTTTTATTTCAGTTAATAACAAGAAAACTTTCACGCAAGCGTCAAGATTCGGCCGCAAAACAAATATTCATACCAACTATGAGATTAAGTTATATGTATACTCTGATATGCACTTACATGAAATTTAAATCTTCTGATTATACTTTAATGTATGGTATATGATGGTGGTATATGACGGTAGTAAATAAGTTTAACACAACAAATACTTCAGAGAATGCAAAGTTTATTATTAAACAGTAACAAAAATTTACCTGAATATTTTTCAAAATAAAAACAATACAAATAAAAACTGACATAAAATTGTTTATAATTCAATTGCATATGAGAAAAAAATAAAACGATTTAAAAAATGTTGAGTTAAAATACTGCAGGTTGAAGTGAAAAATTTCTTGACTAGATGAAATAATTATGGCATCATTAGAAAAACATGTTGACTAGACAAAATATAATATTTCTTGAAGAGCACATAAAAATATTGCAGATAATATTAAAATATACATTTCAGAAACCAGAACAAATATGGTACTTTTTAATAACTCAACTTAGAATGAATAAGATAATATCTTCTGATATAGATCTAATTGTTGTAAGTAAAAATAATAATTAAAAAGAAAAAAGAGGAACATTGCTATGAATAGAAAACTTGCCTAACATTTCACGTTATTTTAATCAGAATTATAGCCATTAAATTTTCTTTCAAATTAAATACTTTCCTTTAAAGTAGACAAACAAATATGATTAAAAAAAAATCTAAAAAGTTTATTAAAAACTGGATACAAGAAGAAAGTGGACATTATTTAAGTATATGCAACATTTATGGAAAAAACTTTGAAATTCACAAATGATATGTCAAGTAAAAGGGGTACATAATTATTAAAGTAATTATAAGTATAGATTTACAAAAGTAAAATACATGTACATTCTACTACATCTACTAAATTAAATGAAAAAATAAAAGGATGTACATATTATACATGTTTATGGTAAATTTCATAGAAAAAATTATGCCATTGTTGAAAAAAATATGTTGAAGAAAGATTTATTATGCACTTTGTTAAATTAAACAATGCATCAAAAGTGAAGACTAAACAAACAATAAATGATATTGGTTTATGTGTTTGAAAAATAAAAAAAAAAGAGACACAATAATCACTAAACAAATGGAAAAATTACCTACCTGGAATCATTTAAGCTTATTTTAATTTAAATTATGACCTTTTAATTTTTTTTAATTATATTATATTTTTGGTTTCTAAAGTTGACAAACAAATAGGATTTTTAAATTCAAAATTAATCACCACAAGTCTAAAAAGTGCAGAAAAATGTTGAGATATTTAAGTGGATTTATAAGCCAAATTTGTTGATTCATTAGAAATTATACCTAAAGTACAAAGCTAAATTTTCCCAATTAATGCTTTAAAATTCAGTTATAACAATATTATAAATGTATAAAGTACCAGAGAAGAAAAGTAGAACCAGAAACAAACGTATGTACAAACAATATTTAACTTATAAACAAAATTAACAAGACTCTAATTAGAATATAAAAACTAGAAAAAAAAATTCACACGTATCAAAAACAACCTTAAATTTGCATCTAAATCCAAGTGATTACATGATTTAAATCTCTTGTGTCCTTGTACCAAGTGTTTAAATCTTTCAACATTCAGTTTATTCTTGGATATTATATATGGTATTCGCTGCATTAACTGATGCTCGGAAACGGATTGGTAACTGAGGGATTAAGGAAGAAATGACATCATCTGCTGATGAAACATTCAATTTTTTCTTCAAAATTTTTTCGATAGTGCCTGGGAAAAGACAAACCTTTTTGTCTTTTTCGGTGTTTGTAGAGTAATGGAAGACAACCCTATAAGAATATTCATTGGATTGTTCATCATTGCAAACAGGGCATTTCCCATTGACATATTTTTTCTGTCTGCATGCTAAAAAGATATGAAAAAAAAACCAAATAACAATAGTGTGTTAAAGTAAAAATAACAGATAAAATGCAGATTAATATATGCTTGTGTGCACAAATTAAGAAAATAATACCTTTATTACTACAACATCTGTAGTAGTCTACATTCATGAAGTCTGTAAGGATAATTTCCTTAACGATGTCTTCATCAATCTTTTCCTCGAAATCAGGGTCATTAGTGTCTGCATCGGATTCATTTATCTGGATTTCCGGGATGTCTGCTAAAAACTGAAAAAAATAAAAGATTTGATGTTTAAGCATTTATATTTGATTCTTACACATGTTACTAATGTCCAATTTTTAAAAGAATGACAATTTTTAATATAATTAAAAATTTAAAGATAATTAAAAATTATTACCTCACATTTGGAATGTGGAGATGTTGTTAATTGCTTGTTGTTTTGGAAAGTTTTTGCATACACTGCTGACACTTGCAAGACATCTCCAACAGAAAAATTGTGGCCAGCATTTTCACCAAACAGACACACTTTTGCTTTTGATGAACCATCTTTCAACATGATTGCTCTAACAGGGAGGGTCCCATTCATTCTCATGTGTAAAGGAGACACCTAAATATAACTTAAACAATTGTATACACACCCTTAATATGTACATATATATTGTTGTTTAATATTTTTGTATTGGGATAGAATTTAGCAAGCATACAAAA